TCAAGTGTCTTAACCGCACACATACTCGTTAGGTAGATATCAGATGCCAAGCGGACTCACAAGCGGATGTAAGGGAGTCTATTTCCATTTTCCATTTAATTGCCACAAAATAAAAAGTTAAAAGTCAAAGCCAGCACAAAGACCTGTAACAAAAAACACATAGGAGAATTTCGACAACATGGTAACTTAACCTCTGGCTCAGTTGGTACGAGCAACGCTACGGTGCAGCATGGTCGATTGTTCAAGACCCACCACCGGGTCGAAGGAATTTTTCTATTTGTTATAGAGTTATTTCACAAAAAATCTCAATAATACATTTCATCAAAAAACGACATCTACATCAGCAAAGGTATTGGCTGCAGTGAGGTTTCAAAAATGTCTCACTAGATGTCACTAACGGCGAGGAATACCGAAAGCCAGTACAAATATTTATAACAAAAAACGCTTGGGAAAATTTCAGTAACTCGACAACTTGACCTGTGGCTCAGTAGGTAAGAGCAATTCTACGATGCAGCATGGTCGTGGGTTCAAGTCCCACCGGGTCGAAGTAATTTTTCCGAACCAACCATTACATCTTTACCGCATTACTAGTGTGGCACTAATAACATTGAAGGTCAACTCCAATGTTAACTGCCTCCGTGGCCGAACGGTGTCACTCACTTTCTCTATATGTATATGTAACTGAAGTTGAACCATTTTTGTTTTTATTATTAATGTTTTAAACACCATCTATCAAATTCTATTGTGAACAAACCCTATTTATATATTAGATTCATACAAATGCATTTATTGCGCCTTGTACTCTATGACATATAGTAATTCATAAGTGCCTACTTTTTTAGAAATTTACCATCTACATGGAGACTACCAAATTAAAATTTTTAAATGTTTACCAAATCTGTTACGTTAACACCTGATATTCTACATTAAATCCTCGCTTCACCTATGAACACGATCACCCCCGAATTACACATACGTTAGCCAAGAAAGGGTTAAGCAAGTGCTACCTGCCCCCACCTGAGGGGGTGGGATTTACACCCCTCATTTGTTTGCGATGACCCCCCACTATCTCTGCCTTGATACCGCCCTGTACGAGGTATTTTGTTGGCGTTCGGATTATGAGCGGAAATTATATGGAGGCAGCCGCTTGCTTTATAGAACAGACTTTGTATGAAAATAGTTTGGTGTCAACGTGTATGTAAAATATGATAAGTAAGTTTTTGTTCTATTAATAATTTGTATTGTCTTAAAGTCAAATTACATTACATTTAATTTATTTTATTTTTGTATATTGAGTTTATTAAATATCGCAGTGTTACTACCATTCAATTATTTTTTGTGCAATTCCTCTTCTAATATTTATTTTTGTAACAAAAACGTAGAATAATTCCTTTTCCTATACTTCGTTTTATGTAGAATTAAAAAAACCATAAACAAGGAAGGAATTATCACAAAACTTTTTTCTTCAGTCAACCAATAACAGTAAAGCAAAACATTGTGATAATCGACGACAAATTACATTTTACAAATGACCCGGTAATAAATAAGTTATTATCGACTTTTTGGCCCTAGCACCATCTGTAAGAAATCCATTTCTTTACTCAACCAGCCCCCGTGGCATGGCTACGCATGATAGTAGCGACGCGCGCGATGAAATTGGAATAAGCGCGCGCTATTGGCTGTCTCAATCAGATCTAATTTTATATAGCCAATAGCGCGCGGTTATTTCAATTTTACAACCTATACAGCGACTGACAAGAGATGTCGTATTAATCATTGTAATTTTTAAGTTTTTATTGAATAGCACAATATTTGACCATGATATTCACTGACTTACAAATAAATGGACGACGGGTCTAATACAAAAACCACGAAAAAAATGTCCCAAGTCAACCTATTCGAAATTTAAATTGTAATGTCATCGCAGTATCGCGCTGTCAGTAGAACAAATGAAGACTAAAGCGAAGTTTGGCGCTCTGTATACGATTTTAGCGCCTTACAAGTGCGGACACTTTTTAGCGCGGACCCGACGTCCATATAATTGTAAGTCAATGATGATATTTGACTTTTTGTGAAATTACTCCACTAGTTTGTTCTAATTATAAATATAAAGATCGAATACTAAGGAAAATTCTTCGATCCGACTGGATTCAAACCAGCGCGTTCAACATAACGTGCGTGACGCTCTTCCAATTGAGCTACGGAATAAACCAGCATATTTGACGAAATTTCTTATGTGCTTATTGCAGATAGGAATTATTATCTATATATTTTTAGCAGCAGTTGTGAAGAGCTCGTCCAGGGAAGTAATGCCGCCTTACCTATTTCTGCCGTAAGCAGTAATATTAGCATTCCGGTTTAGAAGTGTAAGGGTGCTGGTGAAGTTACAGGCACATGGGACTTGTCAACTTATGTCTCAGGGTGACGGTCGCAGTGGCAGTGCCCCTCAGGTGATCTCCGTCCGACATCCGTCCGAAACAATTACTGCCAAATAAGCAATACTTGACCAAATGAAAAGACGCGTGATGCGAATGAAGCTTCATACTGGATACTTGTCTTTTAATTTTGTCGAATATTACTTAATTCACAGTAATTGTTTCGACGGATGTCGGATGGAGGTCGAGAGTAGCCCCCCAGATCTTTGCGATTTAAAGGCATGGCACTACAACTGTTATGGACAGGCGCACGACTTGTTTGTCCCGTCATTAGATATTATAAAAAAATATCTTTATTTTTGGGTTTTAACGGTTTTTTTTCGTAGCGCCATCTGTGAGAAGTTTATGAAAAATATTTTACTATTTATGGAAAATATTTTATTTTTAATAATTTTTTTATAGATTTTAATGTCGGTTTCGTAAAAGTTACTATGCGAACCACCTTTTGTAAGCCATATTTTTAACCGACTTCAAAAAAGGAGGAGGTTCTCTGTTCGACTGTTTGTTTTTTTTTTGTATGTAGGTATGTTACGCGATAACTCCGGTATTTGTGAACCGATTTCATGAATCTTTTTTTGTTGGAAAGGGGGTACTTCCATAGAGGTTCCATTTCATTTTGAAGAACCTCATCCACCTCGAAGGGTGGCTGTTCAAGCATGAAGATTCATTTTTATAAATAGCGCCTAAATTTTACTAAGGAGCAATTATTTTAATGGTTGATTTTGCTATTTCTACAATCCAAGGCGTTTTTCTCTCCATATACTTTGAGTAGTGAGAACCGATTTTTGTTATCTCCAGTGTCAAATCCTGTATAGTGACGAATTTAAGGATATTTCAATAAAACTTAGCAAATAGACGTAATTCAACGTAATTTTGAGGTCGGTTTTTTTAGTACTCTGTACTGAGATTATAAATAAGTAAACTTCTCGACCCTCCCGAGCTGGGTGGTATACATAATAAAGAAAAATAAAAAATATCGGTTCTGCACTAACAAAGAACCTTACACCATTAAAGATCAATTGATGGCTGAAGATGATGCCTCCGCAAAAATATCACATAATAAGGATGTGGGGTACTTAATGCTACCTTTTATGGATAAATTCCTTGTAATATTAAGCCGCATCATATTTATGCGCGATATTAGATGTCTTCATAATGGGCGCACTTACTTTAGACGCAGCACAAACATGTCATTAGTTACCATACTTACTTATTCTTATTCCTAATGTGAAACTAGGCAAATAAGTCTGTTAGAACATCGATCACACACGCTGCCTGTATTGAGTAGGTAACAAACTGAATCTCATCGTATTAAATAAAATGTATTGCAATTTAAATCTGACATGAAATACCAAAATACATTTTCCTCTTATCTTATGATGAATAAACGAACACTTGGCGACAATTTTGACATATCTTATTATGTGGTGTATTACTACTCACTATACAATTGATCCTAGGTCAAAAGAATTTACGTCTATTTACAGGTCAAGGCCAAGTGAGGAATCGGAATACAATGCTCAGTGTACCCTTGTACAGTTGTTAAGATAAATGCCATTGTGATATTTTAAATATAAAATTTACACCCTTCACCGCAAACTCACGTGATGTTAAGCGACGATGTTGTGGACGACGACGTACGCGTTTGTCTGTTTAATGTCTATTCAATCTAGCCTTGAATAACCCTAAATTGCAGCTCTCCAGAGACACAGACAAGCCAAATCAAGTAGCTCAAGGTGGTTACTAGTCAGCACTGACACTTTGGAACGTGTAGTGTAGGTAGACTCCTATCTTTTGACAAATAGTTGTGGAAGCGTAGGTAAAGACATAAACGTGAATCTGTAAAGATGTGTTTCTTTGTGTTCCCCAATAAATATTATTAATATTCCTAACGATCATTCCCAGATACAACAAAAACGCCTGAGTTTTAGCAGCATTAAACCTGACCCTGTTCGCGTAACTTCAATCGGAAGCCGCTTCAGACACAGGTTCGACCGTACGACCATCCGCATCGCCTCTCATTTACACCGTATCCTGTTGGCATGATTTTAATTGTTGGGGTCTGCATACTCAAAGATACCGGACTAGCTTCGTAGCTCGTAATCTTCAGCATGTATTTGGTCTGAGAATTGCTTCGGAAAATGATGTTGGTATTTGTTCCTAGCGCTACGAAGTCCCCAGTCCATCAAACATCTTGTCTTTATTTCGCATCATGAGCCTATCTACTTCTAAACTACTTCTTATACCGTGCTTTAAAGGAGTTTGCTAAGATTGGACAGTAAAGATGCGACGGCTCCTTAAGTGCAAGTTTCGGATAATGGCGTGTAGTTAACAAGATTCTTTGAATATCTGCAGTGAAGTGTTGTCATATGCCTTTTGAAATACATGTTAAGCTCCATAGAAGAATCTTGCGAAACATTTTCTTTTTGTTTCAGCATAAAAAATGACACTATTAAATAAAATACTTTATTTTAGTATAACGATCCATGCTTCTAGATTTTCGGAATCGACATTAAAAGTATAAAAGATACAAAATAAACATTAAAATAATTATACTATATTTAGTTATAGTTATTTAGCAAAAATAAACCCTTTCCAGAAATCTCCATAGTCCGAAGATTGTTACGCTTAATGATGACATAATTCTTAGACGCCTGCAACTGCCAATTATAGATAACTTAAACTTTCTTTTTTAAGTTCTATAGATTTTTAACTCTTTCCTATTCTCCTGTATAAACCGGCTTTCTCTTTTCTAGAAATGCTACCAAACCTTCTTTTCTATCCTTTTTAGCTGTTAACACATTTTGGTTCACGTATTTTTCTTCGACTTTCAAAGCTTCTTCGATAGGCAATTGTAATCCCTCATTAACCGATTGCTTGGCACATTTTAAGGCTATTGGTGCATTTGGTATTATGTCTCTTGCAATAGATAGGGCTTTCTCAAAAGCTGCATTTTTGGATGAATTTTGAGGTACAGCGTGGTTTACTAGGCCTGCAACATAAAGAACATAGCGTTAATGTCATTAAAATTTACAGGTAGGTACTATTTGACCGAGACATTGATGCACAGCCTTCTATATGCGATAGTACAGCCGCCTGTAGTAATTCGTATTCACGTAATATGATTCCCCCACGAGAGTAAATCCCATTTATGGAATAACCCACGTAAATGTTTCAATAGGACCTTATGTATTTTAAGTTTCTCACTCTACAGTTAAACATATTTATATTTAATATTACTATGTCAGCTGTCAAACACGCATTTGATGTTAATGAATTTATAAAAATTCAATATTACAAAAGTAGAGGTCTATGTATCTGAAGTAAACAGAAAAAATTTACACGTAGTCTACGAGATAAAAAGTTTGGGAGCCTTTGTTTAGGGGGTACAACCTTGACAATCATTTCGATCTTGACGTATGGAATTCACTGAATCAAAGCTTGCATTAAGAGATAAGAATCAACCTACCTAAAGTTTTAGCTTCCTTCCCATCTATCACCTTGGCTGTTAGAATCAGCTCTTTGGCCACATGAGGATTTATCAGCCTTGGGAGTCTTTGAGTACCGCCTGCTCCAGGTATCACTCCTCTACCTAAAACATAATACAGAAACAGATGGAAATAAAATAAATAAGGCCATTGTCTTAAATTACTTCAAAGATGATCTATTTGGTTGTAATTGGTATTGCACTACTCGTACCAACCGATAGTTAATTAGACAAAAGTGACTCAAACTAATTTAGAAAGATCGTTAACAAAATTAGATCTAAAGGAAATGGAACTAGGCCACAATATTTTTAAGACCTTGTAATCAGTGTCAAAAGTATGCATAAAAACTGTGTTTTCGTTCATTCTTCTTAAAAGTTTTCCCATATTTTGCAGAAACGTGTACTGTAATCTATTTTTAAAATATTTTACTTAAGTACCTGTTTCGACAAGTCCCAACTTCGCGGTATCAGCAGCAATAAGGATGTCACAGCACAATGCGAGTTCAAGCCCACCACCCATTGCAGCGCCGTCGATCGCAGCGATTGTTGCAACCGGTAATGACGCTAATTCAGAGCTAAGAGAACGAAGTTCGGTTACAAATGCCATTGTTTCTTGTTCAGTCATTTTTAAACGTTCCTTGAGGTTTGCTCCTGCAACAAACGATGGGAACTGTTAACTCATCATTAACCCATCTGCTGGACACGTATCTCCTTTGAGGGTAGGCTTTCATCCAATAAGGGTAAACTAATTCACATGTCTCAAAGAGCTTTTGCACGCTACACATTGAAAATGAAAATTGTTTCTGCTCTATATCGCGTGTATTTACTTTTTTGATACAAGCGAATAGTTTTATCACGTTGTTCTCATTCAACTTTATATTTCAACTTCTTAGTCAACTCATTGTACGTCCCTCTGCTGGGCACAGGTCACCTCCAAGGTCAGACGGTTTCGGGCCATAGTGGTGGGATTCGAACCCTCTACTGACCTCACACGAGGCAAGCGTTTCTCCCTTCTAAGCTATCACTTTTGAGCTGCGAGTTGGAATTTTGCCATGTGTCTCTTTAATTTGGATAAACAGATAATAAATAGATGCAGTTATACTCGCACTATTAAGTATTACGTAATCATTGCCTCACAGGGGCAGGGAAGGGAATGATAAACGTCGGTTATCTAATTTTATACGTTTGCGACCCAACGTATTTTTACGCATTGTAAAGATGCGCACGTGCAGGTGGTTGTAATATAATTAAAGACGATTTTTCCTAACAATCGTTATTACAGCATAATAAGAGAGTCACTATTTCCCTCTCTCCATCTCTGTTTCACTCGGTAAACGCAGCCATAAGCAACTTAGATTCACAGAACTCTATGCTAATTATTCACACTAACCTGCACAAAAAATCCCCGGCACCAAACTATGGAAAATAACCACAGACACTTTAGATTCATCTTTAATTTGTTTGTGTACACTTCTCATGGCGTTGACTAAATCATAACCAAGCGCGTTTCGGTCTTTTTGCTTATTTAGACCGTATAACGCGATACCCGTGTCACTACCAAACAACTTTTCGAAAATTATATCATCTTGAACTTGTGTGGCCAAAAAACGCAAATTGCTAGGTTTTAAAACCTTTTTTAATGCTCCTAACCTCAAAGTCAACATTATTAAAACTCCAAAAGACGACTAAATTGTTTTAATACATTCAGTTACTTAATTTAGTTACGTCAATAAATGTTTATTCAATGCGATATCTTATCGAAAAAAGAGACAGCATTACTAGGTAATCAAAGTTAATGATTTGTGTAATTATCTTTTGGGAGTTTCGAACTGGAAGTTACAATACTATCAAAACTGTTTTATCTCTGCCATGAAGTGTGTACCCAAAAGCAAAACACCCAAACTGATTATTTGAGTGTTTTTTACCTAAAGCAAAATATCGATGTAGACAACTTGTTTGATATTATAAAGCCATTACGAAATCACAATGATAACGTGCGTAAATAAAATAGATCAAGATTGGTCGAAAAACTGCACGAAACATGAAATCTAAGCTTGCGCAATATTAATAATGCATTAACTAAACGCAAGCAATACCGCACACTTGTCAATCCAAACGAAACGTCAAACTTGCCCGCTTCAACCAAAACAAAGTAAATCCTAATATTACTATTTTCTTTCGCCATGGATCCGCGTTTGTATGAAGCTAAATTAATCAATCATAATATATTTAAAGAACTACAAGGAAGCTTAGAAGATAATCCCAGTGGAAAGTTGCGTAATTTGATCGATTTGAGAGATGATGTGTTTTATGTTTGGAACTCCGTCGAAAACTGTTTATTAAGTTTAAATCTCAAGAGACTGGAAGAACGCGATGGTGATACCCCATATCAGGTATTAAAGTAGCTAATTTACGTATGTTTTCATGATTTTGGCGCGTAATTTTAAGATGCCGGCATGATTATTGCGAGGACATTTTAAGGTTATATCAAGATATTTACATTGATTTAGAATTGTTTTACTGTGACAATTTTACGCTTTAACTTGTTTTTGCTGTGTTTTCGAGTATTTAAATATATTTTAGCACAAAGTTCTAATGTCCTAGTATATAAAAAGCAATGGTAATGGTTAAGAATCATTGTCGACTTTTTATATTTCTTTTGTTATTGTAATGTTGTGTAAAAAGCATGTATGTATGTAAACATGTATGTTGGTGGAGTAATTTGCTAAAATTGCCAGTCCCTATTCAGTACTGTAAAATTTAATTTCTCTTACAACATTAATTTCTGCCTTATTTAATATATATAAGTTGTCTTGGTCCTCCCCCTACGTCTCTTACCTTCAAGGGTGAAGGTTGAAGGAAACAGAGGGAGTTTCCTAAACTGATACTGTTTTGCTATATATAACTAAATTTACTGTATTTTGTCGTCATAGAGTGAAAGGTCCCTAAGTTGCAAATGGCCAACTTATATTGGTCATTAAGAGTTGTCGCTAAACTTGAAAGTTTACCTGACATTCAATAAAATTTTTTCAAAAACTATTAAAGTAGATACCTACATTTATTGCAACTACACAATACAAAAATATGAGGCAAAAATGTTAAACCCATCATCTGTCCGCATGCAATCATAAGAAACGCATAACAATTTGTATACTGTAGTGTTTTAAAGCCACAGTGTCTCTAATGCGCAGCTGTGTTTTCGTCCACCATTTAAAAAAAATCAATTTTATTCTTACCAATATATATGGACACATGTAGGTATAACAATTAGGTAGGCTATAACATTTTAAATACTGTCGTGTGCTCTAGTGGTGTATGCAAAAGGATCTCAATTCAGGCTCTGGTGACTTTATTGAATGTCGAGCTGACTGTTGATTTTGACAAAAATAGTTTAAAACGTTTGTAGGCGTATTACTGCTTGAGAATAGAACTTACTTGCTTACTGGTGAGTAAGAAAAGTGTTGTCACAATGCGAATTATTAATATTAAAATTAAATTACATAATGTTCCAACTTAAATATTCCAGCATTTGTAAAATTTTGTTTGTTTTCAGGTAAGTTTAGTCTCTATTTATGTTAAGATGAAGTCTACATTGGGGGTGAGTGAAAATCATTTTTAACTTATGTCTAAAACACACACATCTATAACACCATTTGCAAGATTTAAAAACTAGCAAAACCCTTGCACTGGTCTCGTAAATATTACGCCTGCCACTTATTACATGTAACCACAGTGACTTAAACTGTTTGAATGTTTTTAATTATGTTAGAATAACATTTGTACTAATGCCAAAGGTACATGATTTGATATGTTTGAAAAGGTTGTAAACCCTAATGAGTGATAATTCTTATTTTATTGCCGTGAACCGGGTCTGAACTTCAGGTCCACAGAAATTTATTAAGTTGTTGGTAAAGAGAAAAAAAGGCCCAAAAGGGCCGAGCTATATGGAATTACAAATTGATATTAAAATTGGCATATGATTAACAGTAGTTATTACAAATTGTTATGAAAATTAGCACATGGTTAGTTATAGCTATTACAAATCTGGTAAAGGAATCTAAATTAGACGTAATTGAAATTTAAACAGCTCTGTGTGCTGCCGCTTACGAGCAGCGAGTGATGGAATAAAACAAAATCAGAATAACGAGGCAAAAGAAATTATTAAAGAATGATTCAACATTTAAAAACGAGTGGCCATGTAAGGAGGTCATATTGTCACATGTTTGTACATAATTCATTAGATCTCTGTGTTGCGGTCGCCGTTTTAAAATGGCTTTAGTATAAACGCGTTTATGAACAAATTTGCGTTACATAGAAAAAGAACACCTAGTCTAACTAATACTAATAATGTATAATAATACTGGAATTGCTTATTTTCTCACCACAATATAGGAAGTACATTAATTAAGAATGATATCGAAAATACATAACAACAATAATTATTATGTGGCAGACTGGTACCTAATCTAGACGTAAGTTCTGTCTATATTCTTGTCTTTACTATCAAATCTTCCTTCTTTCTGTCTAACCTCTTTATTTTTCCTCCCGTCCTCAGTCTCCAACAAGCAACAGGACTTTTAACTTTAGCCACAACCCGGGGAGTGGAGACAATGCGTTTCAGTTAATATCGTGATAAAATATAGATTAACATTTGAATATATAAGTTGTAGAATAAAAAATAAACTAGATGTAAGGTCTATATTCAGGTCAGCTAGGGCTCCATCTCTTGGAAAATATTTGCAATTTTCTTAAGAATAGTGTACTTGTGCACTGAAAATTAGATAACAATGATAATGTGATACATATATTATTATTGCGAAAAAAGATGTAAATTATTTTGCTACGCCACGAAAACAGTGATGGTTACATTGTGCAAATTCTCCAATGAATTCTTGGAGTAGCAAAGCAATTTAATTCCAATTTTATTAATAAAGATTTCCGCAAAGTTACCCCAGAATCAATTAATTATTTACATTCTGAAGTATATTTATTGGACAATTTTCATTTCTGACTATTACTTTTGTAAATATAGTTTTATGCGTTAGTAATATTTTCAAGAAATAGGAATGATGTTTATGAAAAAAAATATTTAAATGAAAAGTAATGAGTCTCAGTCATACTGTGAGTAGTAAATAGCGATTATTATTAATTGAAATTGCATAAGCACAATTTTTAACCGACTTTAAAAAGGATGATGGTTCTCAATTCGTCTGTAAAATTTTTTTGTGTCTATGTTACACGGCTACTCCGATATGTGTGATCCGATTTCGACGATTCTTTTATTATTGGACAGTGGATACCTCAGAAGTGGCCCCATTCAAATTTGAAGGAAATATTCCGCCTCTAAACGTAGTAAATTATTTATGAATACAGATTATTGGATTTCACCGACTTTCCGTTAACCAATTTCAATAAAACTTGGCATATATTTCACAAAGATGTGATTCCAATTAAAATAAAACAGAGAAAACGGGTGAGCAAACTTTTGAGGTAGGTGTCAATCTTAAAATCGTGGATATTATCATGCAAAGTAAGTTTTCATTGAATGTCAGAATGTTTCACCTTAGGAAATGCAACTATTTTTCCGGATTTAAATCGCGTATATTTGTTTTTTCAAACAAACCGACGTTTCGGGCCCTTTACAGGTCCCATGGTCACGGTTGACTGAGGTGGCACAGTCTTTAACCAGTTATGTTTAATATTGATGCAAACCACCCTATTTTTTCACTATAGTTACAATAGTTACTAATTAAATACCTTATTTTTAATTTTACAAAGAAAACATTCCAATTTACGCTACATTAAGTTTTACAAATTATTTTATTGAATGAATTTTTATTAAGTTCAATTTATTATTAATTATTAATAGAAATTAGAATAAACTAACAAAACATATTAATTAGTACTGCAGTCTTATGTCTGTTTGGAATTTTTCATTAGAGGAAATACTGGATCCCAAACTGGTGGTACGGAGAAACCATCTTCCCTGTTGAAATTAGGAAAAGTTTTTTTAATTTCAATGGCCTCTCGCAGCATCCTGGGTAGATAACGGACTTCTTTTGCAAGGACCTGGGGTTTGTCAAACTTCATTGAATTTGTAGGTTTATCCATGACATGCTCGCAGACTGCTGACTTGTTTACGCGATGGTGTTTGACATCAGCTATATGTTCTTTGACGCGGGTACAAATACTTCGCTTTGTTTGTCCAATATAAGAGAGACCGCACTCACAGTCAAGCTTATAAAGTCCTGCATCCTGTAAGGGGATGTTACATTTCACGGGTCTCAGGAACTGAGAAATCTTCCTCAGGGGCTTGAAATAGGTCTTGATAGATGCACGCCTGAGGACTCTTCCGATCTTGTCTGTAACACCTCTCACGTAAGGTAGATTTTAGTTTATATAAGAGGTTTTAGTTTATTCTAATTTCTATTAATAGTTAATAATAAATTAAACTTAATATAAATTCATTCAAAACCTAAGAACTCGATATATTTCACCTTGTTATTCAATTAAAAGGTTGAACACTAAGAAAAAAGTCCTTCGATCCGGCTGGATTCGAACCAGCGTCTTCCAGCAAACCGTGCTAGACGCTATGCCAACTACGCCACGAACGACGATCCAACGGACCTTACGAATTTTTATTTGTGCAGATCTTGGTTTTTAACGACTTTTTATAATCCAAAACCAAAATACATTATCCTCAACAGCTTATGATACAGTAGGGTAAAATAATCTTAACCGATTTCGACATTCAAACCTCATTAGACCCAAAGAAAGGCAATTAGTGTACCACTGGAACTTCCGTTACTCGAAAGTAGAGGTGCGATAATAAATAAGGGTGCAATCGGAAGGAATGGACAACCGGCAAATTAACTCAGGAGTTTCGATACACGTTACACATACGTGTACATTCACGTTTGGTACTAGGCACTTTAATTCACAAGGGTACTGAGTAAACTACGGTAAGTTTATTTCTGTGGTGTAATCGAAACGTCGAGTATTTTTATTTATTTATTTGTTTTCAGATTACGAAGACTCAAAGATACATACATACTTTACATACTAAGGGCGCGTTCGCATTATGTCGTGTCAACAGATAGTCGTGCAGTTTCAAGTGTCGTGGCTTATATATTTAAATGAAGTTGTTCACACTAGAATGACACGATTAATTGTTGTTCACGATTTTTTGACGTTACGACGACAGACTGTCGTCATATTTTTATCGTGACGTTTTATTTATCGTCCAGATACAGACCAGCATGGCAGTTGCATACGAAATCTGTAACGTCACTGGGTCGAAAATAATTCGGTTTCTGGTCAAACCAGTGGTCATATTGAAAACATTGACACAATTCATAAATGGCAAACCCGTCTAGTGAAAAGTGACTGTTAT